GTCTCCCAGAAACACAAAGCCAGAGCTTTGATTGTATTGATCCTGAAGGCATCAGTTAGCCTCTACATGTGTCACTGAAATCCGGGATAAAAATAACTTATTGACACCAATTTGATGCAGATAAGCAGACACTTCTTTATGGACAGCTGGACGTATAGGGGAGTGCTCTCACCAACAACACGTGTCAGGCACTAGAATCATACACCTTATATAGAACTAAGTCATACATATTCATTAAGTAATCATACATAAACATACAACTTCCAATAAATCATTAACATATTCCCCTCCTATTTCTGATTCTACACAGTAAAGGTTAGAAATGTCTAGAAATGGGTCTGGGGTGTAATGTGAGTAGGTGGTCCATGAGTCAGTGGTTGCGATCTCCCCCTGCCGGAATTACCTTCTGCTTAAGGACACAGTTTTCTTGGCAGGTACCTGCAAGCTGTTACGGTCACTTGCCTCAGTTCCCATTAATCCTGGACCTTGACAACTACTTGCATTCTTCTAGTCCTATGTATGTATTATAAATCAGTTTATAAACCATCTTGTGTTTTGTTACCTAGGTTCAAACCATTCCTACTAAACAATTATGACCAATCCCTTTGGCCTTGGTACGGGGCTGTACAGGGGATTTTAGAGTAGCAGTCGGTTGCTAGATTCAAAATACAATAAATGTAAAAGAAATTATTTTTACTAAAATATCTCTTAATTCTGTACTTACAATTCAATTTCAGTCGATAATAAAATCAGTAACACATGCACTAACCTTTCTAATGGAAAACTAGTGAGAAATATCAGTGAAGCAAAACACATTTTGATTCACCATCACCTTTCAGACAAGGAAGAAAGACAGAAAAATATTGAAAAATATTAGAACCAGATGCAAAGATATAAAGGGTTCTTTTTTCATGTTTTTACCTTATTCAGACTTGAACTCTGTCATTAAGTTTGGCAAGTTTATATAAACAAAATCAGAATGTTTCTTTTTGTCCCTCATCTTTAATTTGATCTAAGGCCCTCTTTGTCTACAAAACACAAAAAAAGGTTCAGAAATCCCTCCCAGTCAGAATGCATCAAGAGGTTGTCCTAGGATGTAATGTGTTGTATTACTTTATTATGATATAATAATAAATTGAGAAAGTATGGTCATTATCACCACCTCTGTGAAATCAGAGATCTCTTCACAGTCTGTCAGCTATGCTCTCCTCTGCACTTGAACAAACTGGATGTGGTTTGCAATGTAGGCTTTTACAGTTATAGTGTGGGGAGAAAGCAGAAAGTGCTTTTGTAGCACTTTAGGAAGCAGGAATATCTGCTATTCACTCCTGATATCATCATCTGACACTGCCTCAAATCCTCTTAGTCTCTAGCCCTCAGAACTGAAGATATAAGGAGATGATCACTGTAAAAATACCAAGATTAGATACATGGACAGCTAAACAGATGTTTAAAGAGGGATTTCTGCTATGTTTTGTTTCAGTAGTTTTTCTGGTTGGTTACTGGTCCAGAAAGCAGGACGGGATTGGCACTGTGAGAAGAGTAATTTAGGATGTTAAAGTTGCACAGTTCATTTGAACACAAGTATGATAAATTTCACAAGATTTTTATAGTCAGTATGATGTGCATCCATCAGCTAGGAGTATATCTGCCCAGCTCCTTACTTCTTTTGTGACAGCATGCCTTTTCCTTGGCTGATTCAAGAGATAGCCTTGGTGCTTATAAACTATGTACAGTAATATAGGCTATTTTTCAGCTTCCCTTCAAGCACATTACAGTACCCTAGTCATACCTGCATCTTAGATTTGCTGTGTTCAGCAAGAGTTGCAATGGGAACTTGTGGGTAATATGATGGTTATGACAGTATTTGAGAAGGAGTCTGTAGGCAGGTAAGAAAATGTCATTTTCCATGCCAATTCGAGTATCATTTCATTTCTGAAGGATAAATTTTCCTTTGTCTGTTACCATAAGGGGCTTTGAAGCATATGATAAGGATATGATGTCCTGTGATTGTCTTGTTTCATTTCAAATTGGATGGTAAACACCCATTTTGCATTTAACACTGCCTGATAAGAAACCTGTGAAATATCTCTGTGTTCTTTAAGAAAAAGGAAAAAAAAAAAAAACCAACAATACACACCAACAACAAACAAACAGATCTTTACAGGACATAGAAAATCCTGATGTGTTGTGTGAAGGTCCAAGGACAATGGCCCTTTTTCTAGTACTTTTTTCCCCAGATAGGAACACAAGCCTGGGGTAAATTGTGTTCAGCCTTAGTGATGTTTGTTTTCAGCTCTGAGTATTTTTTTACTAGTTTCTCTAAGTGCATGATTGCGGGTGTTGTGTACGCTCATTTTAGCTCTCTGTGCATTTAGCTGCAAGCATGAGTCTCTTGATCTAGACACATCTCTGTCCCTGCAGCACATTAAGAAGAGCTATAGCCACTGATCTAGCTTTTACCTTTTTTCTTTTTTTTTTTTTTTTTGTAGTGAGAGTGACAAGAGAGATGACACAAAAGAGGGATAAAAGGGCAAAAGGCAGGAAAGAAAGCCTAATCTGAGGGTGATGTCAAAACAAAAATCCAGTGACTGGAATTGACAAGAGCATTTGCCATCTCACTCCAGCTCCAGCTGTGCTCCAATCTGCCTTGGTTCTGTGACACATGGGTCCACACTCCCCATGACTTCACATATGTAGAAATACATGTCTGTAAGTATTCGTTGTTCTGTGGGCAATGCACGTTTTCTCTGTGTTTCAATGAGAGTGTGCATTGGCATCCAAAAAGAGCAAAATCCTTCTCTTTGGCACATAATACCTTGTGTATCTTCCCATTAGATGTTATTTAAAGTGTTTTCCTTCCACCCATTCACCTAATTCTGCTTCCTTTGTTTTCACTATTATTTTCCTTACTATGGTGGTCAGCACTATGAAGCCTGCAATGGCTGTTCTTACCAGTGACTGCTAACCAGAAATACCCCTGGGACCCCTGGAAGAATTTGGGAACACAGGAGTCTCTTTACTGGGTGAGACTGAAGTTACGGATAATCTGGTGACCAGGAGAGATGCTTCAGAGAAATGATAGTGAAAAACACTTAGACAAGATATCCCCATAATATTTTAGGAAGACTGGTTTATACCTCGAAGCCTGGAGTTAAATAAACAGAGAGCTTGGCCTAACTTTAGGAAAGACGAAGTAAGAGATTTTTGATCCCAGAGGACTGGAGATTAAATAATAAAAATCTCTGTCCTATTTTAACTGATTCATCTTGTCTGTCATCCTCCCTTTTTATAGAGTATTGATTATTTATTTTCCCCCAAATTGTGTTAGAAACATATTAAGAGTCTTGATATCTGTAACTGAGATTCACGCCCCATTTTTTTGCCACATGCAGAAGAGCTATGGGTGTAATCTTAAAGTCATTCTTATTTGATCTATTTGCCTTTAAAAATAATCATGTCTTTCTACCAGATTCATCAGAGCTTTGTGTTACAGAAAATGAACACTAAGGCGAAACACCTCCCAGAATGTGAGCAAACAAGAGAAATTCATCTCTCCTATGACCTATCCTGATTTTAACTGCTTCTACATTGGCAGCTATTGATTCGTGCAACTGGTTTCTGCATTTCTAGTTTAAATAGTCCACCATATTTTCCATCATTGCATCAAGTAGTTTTACCAGGAAACACTGAATATTTACAGCTATATTACAGACCATGGTTCTATTTGTTTTGCTAAAATTTGTATTTCTTTTGTAAACATATTCATTCCATTTGAGTTTTAATGACAAATTTTAAAAAAAAAAAAAATCTTTCAAAAACCAGGATCATATTAGGGATAAGTATAAAAGGAATTGTCCTGTGCTTTTTATCCTTTGCTGGAAGGCACTGCTGATATTCAAAAGACATTCAGTGCCCTTATCTGACCTGGATACTGAAAACTCTGTGCTTTGCCTCCAGATTTTACTTTCTCTACTCTGTGATTTTCTCCATACTCTTACTATCTGTGATATGAAATGCTGAGCACTGATAGATATTGGCAGGTCCTGATTAAAATTCATTTCACATTGCCTGCTATTACTTCAAAGGAACAAAAGTCCTTTTCTCAGTCCTAAGAACTGGAAACCTAAATTTTCTTTGAGGTGCTGAGCATGAAAACTATGTCTTTGTTTGATAAGCAACATCTCATATTTCCTCTCTTACATCTGGCCAGTACTGAGAATATGCAAAAACTGGGTTTTGGTTTTGTAACATCTAGGTGCTGATGACAGGTAACAAACTGCTATTTGGCAAGCAGTGCTTATCCTTACCAGTTTTCTAAGGCAAAAGGAAAATGAAGATACCACAGCTTGAGGTACCGAATTTGTTTTCAGGCTAGCTCAGTATCTTTTGTCTCAAGGGAAGCTGCTTCATTTCAATGCAATTTTTTCTGTCTAACATCATTTACTACCCGGTAGTTAAATTCTGTTCCTCTTTCACTCTGCTTGCCAGTTCCATGTAAACTTCCAATAACTTTCACCTCCTTTCCCTGATTCTGAACAAGTCTAAGCCAATTTTGTATAACAGGCACACGTCACCTAAATGAAATAGAAGATTAGTAAAAAAGCTGGTCAGCTGAAACTGAACCAAGCCAAATCAATCCAAACAGAGCAGTTTGCTTGCGTTTGTTTCATTATCTCCAACAGTTTTGATTGATTTGCAAGCACCAAATCACAACTAAATATTTCAACAATGAATACTTATATGTTGATGTCTAAATCTACACCCAAGCTTTTAAACACTAGGACGATGATTTTCAAATGGCAAGAAGCAAGTATAGTCCCACACAGGAAGCAAAACTGCACCACACAAATGGAAATCTCACCAGATTTTAGGCTGGTGATTAGTTGCTTAGGCAGGTACATATCTGAAGGGTATATGTGATTCCTTCTGAACCTAATAAAGTTCCTTAAGATCTTTTCTCCAGATGTCCTAGCTGGAGAAGAGAAAAACTAACTTACCTCCTGTTTGTAGCCATATCTACTGGGTTTATTCACCAGGGACAAATGCAAAATAAGAGTGCAGATCCTCAGGTCTTGTGTCTTCCTTTGACTAGCTCTCTTCTGGTTTCTCTGCACTCTATAGCCAAGAAAAGAAAGCCCTTTTTAAAAGACAGTGTGTTCAGAAGAGTTGTGAGTCCTATATTTTTTTGCAGTTTGCCAGGGAAATGTAGCATATTATAATACTAAAATATTACTTGTCCATTAATTGATTTAATGAACATATTTCTTTAGCCAGACTCCAAGTACTCTGCAACTCTTTGAAACTGTGAGCAATAAAACATTGGCTTAATAGTTCAGGCTTGTTTTCAGCAAAAAGTCCTACACACTGCCAGTCTTCCCTGGCACTATACAAATAAAGGCAACTGTTGTTGGCATAATAGCTCACATGGCACAAACAAGCCTTCCACTATAATCCTCCAGTCACTATTTAGATGGTCTGACAAGTCTGCCTGCTGCAGACTCTCGGTGGTAAAAATGGTACTTCCTTTTGTCCACAGGACCCAGTGAAGTCACAGGTCCCAGAAAGTACCATGTTTCCCATAAAGACCAATTAGCCTCTGCCTGCATCAATCCTTATCCTGTCAGCTTCTAAATTCTAATTGCCAGCTGACACATGAGCACTGCCAATATTGTAGGGAAGGAAATAAAGCCAGTCCTAGCTGAACTCAGCAATAAGGAATATTAGGAAATCTGGTATTTGAGCTAGCAGCAGGGTATGAACAGGTCTACTGGTAAATAAGAAATTGAGGGCACGAAGCACAAGGAACCTTGGTATAGGTGAATGAATTTAGGAAAAACTAAAGTACATCCAGGTTGTCTGGTTCAGAGGTACCTAAGTCATATGTACAAAGCCCAGGTAAGTAAAACAGCAGATTTGATGTGGTGAATGAAGACAAACCTGTTTTTTCAAGTACATCCTTTGTCATGTAACCTTATGTGACACTACAGGAAACCATAAAACATCTTTGTCTTTGAGTGGTTTGGTCTGAGAAGAACATTTGCTCTATCAATGAGGCTCAGCAGAATGGATAAACAACTTGATGGGCAAAATCCAGGACTTAACATAGTTAATGCATACACAAGACTAACAATAGCAACATGGAAAGAAGAGGAAGAACGGAAAGATGAGAGAATCAGTGTGCCAGATACACACCTTTTATTGCTGTATGTGCGAGTTGTGTGTTTTGCTGCAATGGAGACTGGGCAGCAGACACTTAACAGCTCTGCCAGACTTAACAGTGTTGTATACAACCTTCCATTAGAAGCAATTGCCCTTATTTTCTATCCGCCTACCTGTCCTCTTTCCTTCTCAACAGTTGCAGGACACCATGTGTCCTTGTTCCTCTAACCTACTAATTTCCTCAGTATTTCACTAGGTTTGACATCCGGTAATGCATCTTCCTGCTCTCTTTTTGGCTACAGCTTTCTCAGGTGGAGTGAAAGTGCTGACCTCAGTGTGAGCATCCCCTTGCTCACTCATTCTGCCCAAAGCTATCCGAATATAGGAGGCAAACAAAGGAAAATAACAGAGAAATAAGCTTGTCTCTAAGCATGAAGTTGCTTTCCATCCCGTGGGACACAACCTGTTTCACATCAGTATCCTTCAGAAACATATCTATTATTTATATATATTAAAATATATTTTAATACATATTATATATAATACCAATATATGATGAAATAATTGTACTTTTTTTTTCAGGGAAAACTGCAATTATACTTCATGTCCACAAAGACCTTATTTAGTCCAAAGCAACCACTAGCACAATGATGAGGGTCCCCATTTGAGAGCCAGGCAATCTTGCCATTACTTTGTCCCCAGTCTGAGTATACCACAGACACATAAATTATCCAGACACTGACTTAAACATGCAGTGGGATGAAAACTTTTTTCCTTCCCACAGGTTGATCACAAAATCAAGTTCCTTTCCCAGCCAGACATTTACTCAAACTGTTCCGAAAGGAAATATATTCTGCTAAAATAGCCTTCTCAATATGCTTCCCCATACGTTAACAACAAATCCTTGTTACATTTCATTATCCCCACTACAGGTGTGAAGTTCTATCTCCTCCCAGCTAAGTATTCAATCACAGTGTGCTAGATGAGGGTTCTAGTAACTGTGCTGGTGGCCACTTTGAAATAGGTGGATTTCTTTGTGGATTATACCTATATGTTTGATTTCTCCCATCTATGCAAGAAACTTGTTTGACAAAAAGGTGACTAAGGACCATGCTCTATACAACAGTTTGTCACAGACTAGATTACAGCAAACCCCAATGCTGTTAGTTCAATATGTATTAAAGAGTTCACTTTGTAAATTTAATTTAATTTTACTTCACAAAAAAAAGCAGTAGCAACAATTATAAGCACCACTAATGTCACTGGAAGAACCACACGCATCACCAGTTTGATCTCAATCACCAGAATGCAGATTGTGTAAACTCACACTGAATCTTGTGTGACTGCAACTGACTCAGTTTCTTTGTCTTTATTTAACACAGGAATAATTTTAGAAAGTAAAGCATGTCATGTGCAGCAAGGGAAATCAACAGTAGGGAAAAATAGTGAGGGGGATATATCATTACAGTAATACAGAGGGAAAAAATTCTATTCTGATTTTGAAGAAATTCAAAGGACTGAAAAATGAAATCCAAACTCATACCTGGACATGTTAAATAATGTCATAAATTATGCTACAGGACCCAGGCAGTACCTCCTGCATTATGACCACCTTGAGCCTGTGTTGACAATGGGCACTCTTCCATTAACAGTTCAGGCACCCCTCAGGCAGCACAAGTTTTGAATCTGCTCAATGCTTTTTGATATGGCTATCTAGAACATTGCCTTGCATTGCCATTCACATCTTCAGCACACCATCATCCTCCCTACAACTTCCTGACCCTACACAGGCAGACAGTTTATAAATCACAGCTTTGAGAGACAGCATTCACTTTCTCTCCTGGAAAGATGGGAATTGACATTCCTACAGTCTGGTTTCACAAATAGTGTAGATTAACTAAGAGAGATGTAGCCAGAAAGTATCATAATCACCCCATCATAATTACCAAGGAAATGCTGTAATCCTGCTGGTTCACTTACTAACAGCCCATACCTCCAGTGAAGGCATACTTCCCATAGCAGGCAATAACCCAAAAGCCATGCCAGCTTTATTCAACACAAAACAACATGGCAGAAAGCAATAGTGTGTAGAACCTCAGTAACAACTGCATTTTAACTGCATATCCCAGTGCAACAACTACGAAAGGTGGAAAGTTTTGTTCTTTTTGAAATATTGGTGAAGCTAAATATTTCACAAACAAATCTTGTTTGTTTGTTTGTTTGTTTGAAATGAATTTGCCATTCCCATATATCTTTTCTCCACTTAAATCGCAGGTTTCCAGATTACAGATTTAGCTGTCCCACAGTGCTAAAATTATGGGTAATGGGTTCAACTCATATGGATGACAAACCCCACAACTATCCCTGCGGCCTCCCATCACTAGACCTCATTTTTTTTTGTCCTCATTTTGTACAAGGCCTTTAGAGTGCCTTGTAGACAAAAGATTCATTCACTTCTTGAAAGAGGAGATAAATACCTTCCTTACCACCTCGGTTTCCTCTTGACCCTAATAGCTGTACTTGTCAGAATCAGATCCCCTACCAAAAACATCAAAGTGGTAATAAACAGGCATATTGAGAGAACAGCAAAAGGAATGGCAAAGTGTGTAAAAGGGGGACTGAGATGGAAAAGACAAGGTGGTAAAAGTTTAAGATCTGGCAGCTGACCAGATCCTCCTGCTGATTGACAGATATTCTACTAATCAGCAGCCTGGGTAAGAGTCTTCAAGGTAGCTTTGTTCCCTGCATTTTATTTGCCAGAGTAACCGCATTAACATGGGTCAATAGTTACAACACTTACAATGTCTAGCACATAAACCATCATCTAACTGTCTGACTTGTTTATTACCATCTGTCACTTGAAAAGCTCTTATTTGAACTTGGCTGCTGTCGGTTCCTCATAAAGACTTATTTTTATAATTAGATTTTAAATATAATGAAAAAATAAGATTCCTGCAGGGTTTTTTTAGCTCAGTGATGATTCATATCAGGGTGGTACTATTGCTAGCTATCTTAGTATATCAAATGCAATCCTCTTAATGACCGAAACCAAAGTTAAGACTGAAAAATCATCTGTGATAACAGTTTTCAACAAAATGCTGACCACCATTGTATTTGCATCTCAGTTCATCACAATCTATGCAATACTTGGAACCAAATAAACAAACAAAATAAATAACAGCATATATCTAAACATGTTTACAGAATTATGGGGCTCTGAAAAATGACATGGTACTCTGCTACTAGGTATAAAAAAATCCCAGCTGTTTGATACTGTGAGGAAATATATTGGTTTTGCATTTTATAATTTCAAGCCATGTTGTCAACAGGCAACTTACGTTACTTTATATTGCACTCATCACAGCCCACCATAATTTCTTCTGGCACAGCCAAGTAAAATATATCCCCCTGTCCTGACACTACTTATTGTTTTTTGTCTCCTAAAATGATTTGTGAATGTGTTTTGAATTTTTGTAAGAGTATTTCCAGAAGCTTTAAAAAGAAACTGTACATTCAGCAGAGCAGACATACCAATATTTTAAGAAACAGGAGAAAATCTTTGGTTCATTGTATGTCTCTGCTTCATTTTCCTTCTGATACTTCTTGCCAGAGTCCCTCTGGTGCCTCTTTTGTGTTCAGACTCATCAAGTAGTCATGGAATCTATTAAACTACTTGCTTCAGGCTAGCTGAGCACGTGAGTGCTGCTCACTCCAGCCCATATGTCATATATTGAAATGAATCAAGAATCAGTTTTTCTGTTACTGTATAATGAAGTATTGGTTAGGCACACCTATGTCCTATCCATGGCAGGAGGAAATACCACACACAGTGAAAACAGCTGGGAGTGTGAAAAGAGCTGACTCTTTCATCTTGGTACCTTAAGCTAATTAAAACAGTCCATTAGCAGTTTCTAGTCTTAATCATTTTCAAACACCTTTTTAACTACTAAAGCATT